TGGATACCCTACAACGTAACTCGATTTAGCTTCATTCTGACACTATCCACCGGGAGATTGGCATCAGATTCCACAGGTCGAGGACTGAGTCCTACAAGACTCACCCCCTCCCCTGACAACTTTAGATATCAGTCATAAACCCAGGGGTCACCGGTGCTTTTGGCTGACCAGCTGTAGATTGCAGGTTCCAAGGACCCTCTCCTTGGGTTCGACTAATTCGCTAGAGCACCTCATAGAAATCAGAGAAACGTTTTCCTTATTAGATCCCTAGTTTATGACAAAAGGGTATAACTCAGGAAGAGACGCATGGAAGAAATGTTTAGGGCAAGGCATAGCGAAGGGTTCTCGGGGCTTCCGTGCCCTCCAGGGTGCCACTCACCTAGCACCTCCACATGTGTACCAGCCCAGAAGCTCTTAGAATTCCTTCCTTTTGGCTCTTTATGGACGCTTCATTACATAGCCATGGTTGATTGAATCATTGGCCTTTGGGGACTGACTCAACCTCAGGCCCTCTTCCCTCCCAGGAGGTTTGGGGGAGGTACGGAAAGTTCTGTTACTTTGGGTAATCCTGGGGTTGGTGGCCCTGGCAACCAGCCCTGTCTTAAGGGCTTTCCAAAAGACACCTGTTTAACATAACAAGACACCATTATCACTCTTATCAGGAAATTTGAAGGGTTGCTCGGTGCCTGGAACAAGGTCAAAGGCCAAATATATACATATATATTTTTTAATTTTTTTTAACGTCTATTTATTTTTGAGACAGAGAGAGACAGAGCATGAATGGGGGAGGGTCAGAGAGAGGGAGACACAGAATCCGAAACAGGCTCCAGGCTCTGAGCTGTCAGCACAGAGCCCGATGCGGGACTTGAACTCACGGACCGCGAGATCATGACCTGAGCTGAAGTCGGCCGCTCAACCGACTGAGCCACCCAGGCGCCCCAACATATATATTTTTTAAATTTCAGTTTATTTATGTTGAGAGAGAATGAGAGAGCGAGTGTATGTGAGCGGGGGAGGGGTAGAGAGAGAGAGAATCCCAAGCAGACTCCACACTGTCAGCGCAGAGCCGGATGTGGGGCTCAGTCCCATGAACCGTGACATCCTGACCTGAGCCGGAATCAAGAGTCGGACGCTTCACCGACTGAGCCACCCAGGCGCCCCCACATATGTATTTACTATAAATCGCAATATCACATATGGTAACTCTACGTTCCAACTTTTTGAGGAGCTGTTAGACTGCTTTCCAAAGTGGCTGCACCATTTCACATTCCCACCAGCGGAGAATGAGGGTTCTCATTTCTCTGCATCCTTGTCCAATGCTTGTTATAATCTATCTGATCACAGCCATCCTCGTGGCTATAAAGTTGTATGTCATTCTGGGCTTCACGTGCATTTCCCTAATGACTAATGATGTTGAGCATCTTTTCAGGTGCTTGTCGGCTATGTGCATATATCCCTTCTTCTCCGGAGAACCGCCCGTTCCAGTCCTTTGCCCATTTTTTAAGGGCAGGTTGTTTATATTTTTGTCGTTGAGTTGTAGGATTCTTTATATACTCTAGATACTGGACCCTTACAAGATATATGTTTGCAAATATCTTCTGCTGTTCTGTGGGTCGTCTTTTTACTTTCCCAATCGTTTTCCTTTGAGGCCCCAAAGTCTTTAATTTCGGTGAAGTCCAATTTATCTTTCTTGTTCTGTCCCTTGTGCCTTTGAGTGCCAAGCTATGATTCCATGGCCAAATCCATATCTATTTATTAAGCACCCTCCATTCATCAGGAACTAGGGGTACTGTAGTGGGTAAGACAGACTTGGTCCCTGTCTTCATGGAATGTAAGTCTAGTGGTGGCAGGGGAGATTTTAATGTAATAACTGCTGGAATAATTTCCTCAAGTGTAATGAGGACTAGGGGCGCCTGGGTGGCTCAGTCGGGGGCAAGCATCCGACTTCCGCTCAGGTCATGATCTCACAGGTTCGGGAGTCCGAGCTCGGAGCCTGGAGCTTGCTTCGGATTCTCTGTCTTCCTCTTTCCCCGCCTCTCTCCCGCTCATGCTCTGTCTCTCAAAAATAAATAAATGCTAAAAAATTTTTTTGAAAAAAGTATAAGGAGGACTATGAAAAGGAGCAGAATGAGCCAAGTGCTAACCCAGCCCAAGGGGCAAGGAAGTCTTCCCCAAGGCAGTGACTAACATCTGCAGGATGAGTGGGCGTGGGCCAGGTGAAGGGGGCAAAGAACAGAGGGCAGAGTGTTTCTGGAGAGGGAACGGCATGTAGGAATTCCCAGAACTCGGAAGAACATGGCTCTTTCAAGGAACCTTGCTAGGAGGGCTGTGTGGCTGGCAGAGTGAGGAAGGGAGCAGGCAGGGGTGTGGGGCAGGGAGAAAAGGACTCGGGGAGAGAATGCAGAGTGAAAAGAAAGCTTTCTGAGACTTCAAGTTGGTAAATGCCAGCAATCACAGCTGTAGGAGGTCATGGAAGACGAGGGAAGAGAGTTTCCAGGAGTAGGAAGTAGCCAACATGAGTCAGTGAGGCCAGGAAGCGAATGAAGATAAGGACTTGCACTGGGCAGCTGGGAGGTCATTGCTGGAGACGGCGTAGAAGCCATCGTGCTGGGATGATGGAGGTGGAAACCAGAATGCAGAGCGTTGAGGACAGATTTAGAAGTGAGGGGATGAGGGGCGCCTGGGGGGCTCAGTCGGTTAAGGATCCAACTCCTGATTTTGGCTCAGGTCATGATCTCAGTTCGTGGGATCGAGCCCCGAGTCGGGCTCTGTGCTGACAGTGTGGAGCCTGCTGGGGATTCTCTCTCTCTCTTTCTCTCTCTCTCTCTCTCTCTCTCCTCTCTCTGTGCGTCTCCCCATGCTGGCGTGCACTTTCTCTCTCTCAAAATAAACAAATAAACATTAAAAAAAAAAAAAGATGTGAGATAGAGACAGTGAGGGGAGGAGACCTCCCTTTGGAGAGGCTTGGCTGCAAAGAGGAGAGAGTCACAGATTTGGCCAGAAGGCTGGGGGAGACTTGAGCCCGTTTGTCCCCCCCGTTTTTTTTTTGTTTTTTTTTTTTGAGAGAGAGAGTGCATGTGTGAGCCTGTGCACACCCACACAATCAGGGGAGTGGCAGAGAGAGAAGGAGAGAGAGAATCTCAGGCAGGCTCTGCTCAACAGCTCAGAGCCCAACTTGGGACTCGATCCCAGGAGCTGTGAGATCATGACCTGAGCTGAAATCAAGAGTCCGACGCTCAACCGACTGAGCCCCCCAGGCGCCCCTCTCCTGGTCTCCGTGTGCCCTGCTAGGCTGTTGCACATGCATCATCTGAAACCCTCGGAACCCTGCTGGGGAGGTTGTGTTGGTCCCATTTTGCTGATGAGGAAGCACAACTCAGAGGAGTGAGTGGCCTGCTTGCTCAAGGTCACTAATCGGTAGTCGGCATTCAAACCTAGGCTAGGCT